TGGTATTTGTCTTTCCCTGACGACTTACTTCACTCAGCATCATACCCTCTAGCTCCATCCATGTCATTGCAAATGGCAATATCTCATTCTTCGTTTTGGCTGAGTAATATTCCATTGTGTATATATACCACATCTTCTTCATCCATTTATGAAGTTTCCTTGTAATACTTCTTTGATAATATCCTCCTCTCCATTTTCTGTTCTATTTTCCCAATTTTCTATTAATTAGATGTTGGACCTCTTGGATTGATCTTTTAATTTTATCTTGTTTCCCTCACATCCATCACTTTATCTTTTCTCCAACTTTCTCTAAGATTTCTCAGGTTTATCTTCCAAACTTTCTATGAATTAAACACTTTAAATCATATTTTTATTTTTGGGAGATTTTGTTAGTTTTTTTTATAGCATACTATTCTTGTTTTATGGAGAGAATATCTTCTCTAACAGTTCTAAGGAAATTAATTATAAGTTTTTGGAAGTTTTCTCCCGCTTTTTGAACTGATGCTGTCTCTTCTATTCTTTTGATGATATTTCCTATCGGAGGCTTTCCTCAGCTGTCTGCTGATCCCTGATGTCTGTTCATATTCAGAAGTAAGGCAACTAAAAGATGTTTGAGTAGCTTTGTAAGCAGGGGAAGTGCTCTTGCCAAGTGGGCTCTGCACTGTCCCGTGACAGGGTAGTTCTACCTGAGAATTAGACTTCTAGATTCTCTTGCCTACAAGCATAAACTGGCTCTGGAGTTCTAGAAGCTGTGCAAGGGAAAGGCACTGGTGGTCTCTCTGGTTAATAAGCAGATATTTACTCAATCTCTATTTTCAGTGTTTCGCCCCTGCCCTCCTCCACTTGTGGGGTCCTTTAGTTCAAAGCTCTTCTAGGTCTTCTCCAGAGAATAAACCTCTGGTCTTCTACAAGGGTGGGAGAGGGGAGGAGATGTCTAGCTATTTTTTACAGAGGGAGGGGTAGAGGAGAAGCAGATTCACTGCTGAGCAGGGAGCCGGAGACGGGGCTCGATCCCAGGATCCTGAGATCATGACCTGAGCTAAAGGCAGATGCTTAATTGACTGAGCCACTCAGGCGCCCCACCAGCGTCCCTGATCTTAACAACTAATATGCTACACTTCTGCCTGGCTCCCTTAAGACAAAAGAAAGCCCCCAGTGACAGGAATGAAAGGAAGAGTCTCCATTTCTCTGCTCTACAAAGAGGTCTTTCACCCTCCAGTGTCCTCAAGGTTCATTCATGTTATAGCATAGTGCAGAATTCCCTTCCTTTTTAAGGCTGAATGTGTACATACCACATTTTGCTTATCCATTCATCCATTCTTGGACACTTGGGTTGCTTCCACATTTTAGCTATTATGAATAATGCTGTTATGAACATGAATATACAAATATCTCTTTGATAACCTGTTTTCAATTCTTTTGGGCATGGTACCCAGAAATGGAATTGATGGGTCACATAATAATTTTATTTTTCATGTTTTGAGGAACTGTCATACTGTGTCCACAGTGGCTGAACAAGTTACATCCCACCCACAGTGCATGCGGGTTCTAATTTCTTCACATCCTCACCAATGCTTGTTGTTTGCTGGGTTTTTTTTTTTTTTTTTTTTTTTTTTTTAATAGTAGCCATCCTAATGAGTATGAAGTGGCATTTTACTATAGTTTTGATTTGCATTTCCCTAATGATTAGTGATGCTGAGCACTTTTTTTTTTTCATGTGCTTATTGGCCATTTGTATATCTTCTTTGGAGAAATGTCTATTCAAGTCCTTTATATTTGAATCAGGCTGTTTTTTTGTTAGTGAGTTTAGGAATTCTCTATACATTCTGAATATGAACCTCTTCTAAGACATATGATTTGCAAATATTTTCTCCCATTCTGTATGCTGCCTTTTTTACTCTCTCTTTTTTTTTTTAAAGATTTTTTTTAAATTTATTTAACAGAGATAGAGAGCGTAAGTAGGCAAAGTGGCAGACAGAGGGAGAGGGACAAGCAGGCTCCCCGCCGAGCAGGGATTCCGATGCGGGGCTCGATCCCAGGACCCTGGGATCATGACCCGAGCCGAAGGCAGCCGCTTAACCGACTGAGTCACCCAGGCGCCCCTAGGTCTTTTTTCCATTTTGAGATAATTTTTGTATAAGCATGTTAGATAAGGGTCCAACTTCATTCTTTTGCATGTGGATATTCAGTTTTCCCAGGACCATTTGTTGAAAAGACTGTGTCCTTTCCCCACTGAATGGTCTTGGCGCCCTTGTCAAAAATCATTTGACAATATATACGAGGGCTTATTTCTGGGCTCTCTATTCTATTCCACCGGTCTATATGTCTGTCTTTATGTTAGTACCATATTATTTTGATTACTATAGCTTTGTAGTAAGTTTAAAAGTTAGGAAGTATAAATCCCCCAGTTTTGTTCTTCTTTTTCAAGATTGCTTTGGCTATTTGGGTCCCTTGAGACTCCATATGAATTTTAGGATATGTTTTTTTTTTTTTTTCACAAAAAAGTGTCATTGGGATTTTGATAGGGATTGCATTAAATCTATAGGTCTCTTTGGGTAGTAGCAATATTTTAAAAACATTAAATCTTCCAATCCATGGACATGGGGTATGACTTCATTTATTTATGTCTTCTTTAATTTCTTTCATCCATGTTTTCTAGTTTTCATTATACGTGTCTTTCACCTCCTTGGTTAAGTTAATTCCTAAGTATTTTATTCTTTTTGATGTTATTGTTTTTGTAATTATCTTTTCAGGTTGTTCATTGTTAGTGTATAGAAATACAACTGATTATCATGTGTTGACTCTGTATCCTGCTACTTTGCTGAATTCATTTATTAGTACTAACAGTTTTTTTTTTTTTGCCTTAAGGATTTTCTATATATAAGCTTATGTCACTTTTTTAAGCTCATATCATTTTTAAAAAGTCCTTAACTGAAGGTTTTTTTAGGTAAATTTGATCATTCATTACAACTCTCATAAGAATTTTGAAGACAAACCAGAACTCAGGGGTGTGGGGGAAGCAAGACCTAACAGAAACTCCCTATCTTCTAGATTTGAAATCATCCATGAATTATACAACAAATCATAATATATTTTGAAGATCTAAAACCCCAATCAAATTTTGGTTTTAAGCATCTGAGACAACATTATGAGGAAGGAGAAAGGTGGAAGTGTTTATATGTGTGAGAGTGTAGAAGCCTGAAAGAGCTACACAAACATGTTTATTTTCCTCAAGTCAACACACCCTCTCCCAGGAGACTTCTAACTGACAAAGGGGACTTTTAAGGCAGAGAAGAAAAGCCAAACAGAAGGGACCCATATGGATTTCTGGGTTTTAATAGAGAGCCATGCAATCTTGAGGGCCAGATGGGATACTAATGTGAAAAAAATTCAATAATGACTTCAACAGAAATTGCTGTGGGAAAGGTCCTAATCCAGCTCACAGCTAATTATGATTCTCAGGAAGCTGGTGAATCTGCTGCCCAGATCAGAATATTATGTGCTAAGCCTAAAATTCCAGGGAAACATATTACCTCTCTGAAGTTAATCATACGTCTTTCAGGGGCCAGAATTTAGAGGTTCATTCAACAAAGTTTGTTGACGCCTCGAATGAGCCACACAAGATCTCAGGGCTAGAGATCTGGCAGTGAATGAAGCCCCTGGTGCGTGGAACTTTCATGTAATTGGAGGAGATAGACAATAGTTGTATAAACCTGTTCTATGTCAGGAGGGGCAGTACTGTGAAAAGCAGTCACCCATGAGATGGATGGTAAGGGGGCGAGGTGATACATTTGTTGATTAGTAGGAGGGGCCTCTCTGATGAGCTGACATGTGGGCGGAGACTGAATGAAGTGAGGAGGGGAAGAGCTGGGGCAAGAGCATCCTATACTTCTTCCTATGTCACAGCAGATGTTATGTAAGTTGAGGATAACAGGTGCTTATAAATAGCAATTTATCAACTTAGTGATCCTCTGAGTTTGTTTTACGATGATTGAAAGGACTAAAGGAAGCAGAATCTGGTGAGTTTACTGCATTATCTAGTCTAGTGGTTCTCAACTGGGGTGATTTTGCCTGCCAGGGGACATCTGGCAATGTCTGAAGACATTTTGATGATCGTAACCTGGGGAGGGGGGAGGGAGAGGGTACTACTGGTATGTCCTGCATAAAGGCCAAAGATGATACTAAATATCCTACAGTGCACGGAATAACTCCATACAGCAAAGAATGAATGTGCCCAAAATGTCAGCAGTGCCGCTGTTGAGAAACCTTGATTTGGTCCCCAGGCAGGATGCCAGGCCTCTGATAAGACTTGAGGGCAGGAGAAGTTCTTTCAAAGAACCTCATCAAGACATCTGGATATCTGCAAACAGGGTAGATCCAAGGCCTCTGGAGTAACCTCGGGGCATCTGCTCCAAGCTTGTTGACAGACTTAGTCAGATGGTTTCAAAGCCACCCAGGTATTTATTCAAGCAACATTAAATAAATGTTTCCTGTATGCCTATGGTATAAGAGAAAGTAAGGATACAAGATGTGGTCCCTGCCATCAAAGACTTTATAGCCTAGGGAGGATGGAAGGTATGAAGACAAATACCTGCAATGTGACAAGGCCACAATGGGTAGAAATCAGATGATGTAAGGGAAAGAAATCAGATAATGTTGGCGTGACCCAAACAGGTTTAACGTATGAAGTATCATTTGAACTGGGCTTTGACAGTGAGTAGGCTTTAGACAGAGAGGGAAGGAGAAGATCTGCTAGGTAGAGGGTGAGATGTGAAAACAGGTAAAAAGATTGGGAATAATAATATTAATAGCAACTGACACCTAGTAGATCCCCTCTTGTATGATAGGTGTGGTGCCAAGCACTTTATCATGACACACAATTGTAGTCTAACCTGAAAACTGATAGACATGTTAGTACCAGCTGAAGCCTAGCATCACCCAAAGTAACGTGAATTCCAATCTTACCCATCTCAAAAAGAATGAAACACAGGGAGTGTTACCTGGGGTGAGTTGCATAAATACCGAAGAAGTTCACCAATATACTGAATGACAGTGACATTATATTTTCTGCAGTCATCCCAAAACTGGCTGGCTGAAAATTTGTTCCGCAAAACAAGAGTAGCACCTACAGAGAAGTGTATATAAAGTGTTAAGGAAGAAAGGCTATTAAAAAACTCCTTGGTTATATTTGTCATTTTTGAAAGGTAGAAATTTAAATATGAATTATATTCACAAACAAGTCTGAATATTGTTTATTGTTTGAATATCTTCAAAACAAAAATCAATAAGACATGGTTTTATCCTACAGAGGCTTTCAATCTAGTGGGGGAGAGACACATGCTGATATCTTTCTAATAAAATTCAGTGTGCAATAAATAGGAAGTTCAAATGAATCCCTAAGGGAATGTGAATGAAGATGTGTGCGTGTGTGTGTATTAATTCTACTTGGGGTAAGGGCTGAGAAAGGCATATTTTGGAAGAGGTAGGATGTGAATTATGTCTTGAGCAATGATTATGAAGAAAGATGAGAGAATTCCAGGCAGAGGAAACCATGTGAAACATAAAGACAGGGCAGTTCAGAAGGTGTGGGAAGATAGCCAAGACTCAGTTGGCCTGTGACTGGAGTGGTGAAGAGTGGGTGAGTCATGGGAGTGGAACCTGGAGAAGCAGCTAAGGGTGCCATCATGGAGAACTTGGAAGTGCCAGGTGGAAGAGTGAGACTTAACTCTCCAGGCAATGGAGAACCAGGGTCTTGAGCAAGCGGGAAAATTGTTCGTTGATGAGTGAGGTAGACATAATGGTTCCCAAAGATGTCCCTGTTCTAATCCATAGGACCTGTGAATATGGTCCCTTACCATGGCAAAAAGACCTGTGTAGATGTAATTAAGTTCAGGATTTTGAGATGGGAAGATCATCCTGGATTACCTGGGTGGGCCCAATGAAATCATAAATGTCCTTATAACAGGAAGGCAAGCAGATCAAGGGCAGAAGGACATGGGATGATGGAAACAAAAGGTTGGAATGATGTGTTTTGAAGATGGAAGAAATGGCCACAAGCCACAAGGCAGGCAGCCTCTAGAGGCTGGAAAAAGCAAGGAAATGGACTCTTTCCTAGAGTTTCCAGAAGGGATGCAGCCCTGCTGACACCTTGATTTTAAGATTTCTGACCTTCAAAACAGAATAAAAATCTGTTACAATAGTGATAGGAAATGAATATAATGGGTAAAAATAATATATATCAGACCCAACCTAATTCTAGGCATGAAATGTAGTAAAGTGAAATAAAAAAACTCACAAGTATTTTTTCACGCCATTAGTTTAGCTTTACTCCTAATTATACAAAAGTCCGATGTTTTAGAAGAGGAGACACTTTTCTAAACACTATTTTTTTCCTTCTTTAGAATGTATCTGTGGTGCTTAAGCAAATGTGTGAGCAATGAAGTTTTCTCTTTGGGAGCCTCAGAGTCCCTCTGGCCTTGAAGAGCCCCGCTATATGATCAGGCCCTGTCAGTCATTCCCGGCCAATGTGGAGGTGGGTACTGATGCTGGGGTAAGTATTTTATAGCTGATCAATAGGTTGATGAGGGAAAGACACAGAGGCTTGGGCCATCACACATGCATATATATATATATATATGTATGTGTATATATGTTATCATGTATATATAAAAATATATGTTATTATATATGTGTATATACATATGTGTATATATTAATATATTAATATATTATTATATTTGATATATATTGTATATTAAAATGAAATGTCACATGGAAGAAAAAATTAAGGTTTTTGTTTGTTTTTTGTTTTTTTTAGCTTAGAGAGTTAGAGATGGCTTTCTGGGAGAGAAGAATATTAGACTGAGCCTTGATGTATACAAGGGGCATAAAGCCTACTGAAAGGAGAAAAGATGGCAACTCTAACTTGAATGGTAAAATTCTGGAAGGAAAGAGAAGGGATGGAAAGCCAGGTACTCTGACCAGAGCTGGGGAGCTGTGGGAGCAGGGAAGAACAAAGTAGGATGGAGACAACTAAGGGGGAAGTTTAAATCAGTTGCTGATGGAGATCCACATGCGGATTTCTGAGGATGGAAATGACAGAGGGGAATTAATTATGGGATCTAATTAGAATCAAGTGTCTTAACCTGGATGAACATCCAAAATATTTTAAAGCCGTTTCCTCCTTGACATCCTGAACAACTGTAGCATTATATTATCAGATAAGCAGGCATGAGAAAATATAAATTATTCTAGATACTTGCTGGTGATGTGTGAGCCAAAAAGCCTTGTTACTAACATAGAATTAAATGCTGTTCCTGGCCGATAGGAAAGTAGCCAACTTTTGTATTACTTTCCCTGTGGAGCACATGTGACTGTGTACTGGACTCCAGTGCCTTGTTGAGAGGAAAAAGCTTACCAGTCAGGATACATCCGTGGACGCCAATCATCAGCGCAGCACTGTGGTACAAGGGTAGGGTGGTATAGATGACATCGTCTTCCTTAACCCCAACTGCATTGATAAAGCCAGTTGCATACCACAGGCGTTGGTGATTGATCATCGCAGCTTTCGGGAGACCTTTGCAAAGATACAAGAGAAAGCATGAGTGAGCCAAGATTGGCCATTTGCAGACACATGGTCTGGGAGAGAGATCTGGCTTAGGAAGATCCATCACCCAGTGGTTCGAGAATTGCATAGGGGAGGACCATATTCAGTTACACCAAGAGTCAGCAAATTTTTTCTGTAAAAGACCCGAGAGTCAATGTTTTAGGCTTTGCAGGGTCATACAGTTTCTGTTACAAATAGTCAACTCTGCTATTGTAGCTGATAGCAGCCAGCCATATAAAGGAATGAATGTGGCTATGTTCTGATAAAGCTTTATTTACCAAAACAGGTCAGGGGGGCTATATTTGGCCCATGGACCTAGCTTGCTGACCCCTGAATTAGATGGTTACTACAGTAGTAATTTGAAGAGAAAGGCATGAATGTCTATCGAATTTTTGCTCTGTGCCTACCACCTTGCAAGGTATTTTCAAAATTTCATTTAATTCTCATAATAAACAGGATCAGTAGAATTATATTTTTTAATCCACAGATGAGAAGGCTGAGATTCAGAGAGATTAAATAGATTTTTCCATTCCTATCACTTTCTTTCATAACCACTTTTATGAATTTCTTAACTCTAGAGTTTCTTCATATAAATACAAACAAATATAGAGTTGCTTATTTGTTCTTGCCCTTTCCTCCATTAAAAAAAAAGGGGGGACCTTTCTACACTTTTCCCTCTCTGCTTAACAGTGTATAGTGGAGAACTGTCCATATTTAACAAAGAAATTTCCCTTATTTATTCATTCATTTATTCTCTCTCTTGCTCTCTCTCTCTCAGTTGCATCAAGTCCTCTGTATTTGTGTGTTATAATTTCTTTAACTATTTTGCTATTTCAACCTGGTCCACATGGTATTTTACACTATAGATGATGCTGTATTTGTAGGATAAATTTGCTGAAGTGAGATTGTAGGGTCAAAAGATACATGTCTTTGTAATTTTGATAGGTACCGCCACATTGCCAGTTATAAGGGCTGTTCCATTCCACTCTCCCACCAGCAATATCTGAGTGAACCTGTTCCTCATAGCCTTGCCTAGGTATGCTCTCAACTGTTGGACAGAGGGAGAGGGAGAATCTCAAGCAGGCTCTTCGCTGAGTGTGGAGTCCAGGGTGGGGCTCGATCTCAGTCAGGATCCTGAGATTGACCTGAACTGAAACCAAGAGTCAGATGCTTAACTGACTGAGCCACCCAGGCACCCCAAGTTCTTTTAATTAACCTTTACAAGAGTAACTTAGCAAATATTTTATTCAGAGATAAGGAGAGAAGCAAAATAAACATCCACCCAATTATCTTCCAATTAAATATAAATTCTGAACTGTGGGATTAAATTAAGGAGTGTTCAGTCTCTTTTTTCCCCTAAAGTGGGTTTTATATTTTATATTTATATTTATATTTTTCCCCTAAAGTGGGTCAAAACCTACATTGTGAAGTTCTTTTTTTTTTTTTTTTAAGATTTTATTTATTCGAGAGAGAGAGACAGAGAACTCAAGCAGGGGGAGAGGCAGAGGGAGAAGGAGAAAGCAGACTCCCCACTGAGCTGCGAGCGAGACATGGGGCTCGATCCCTGGACCTGACCTGAGCCGAAGGCAGACGCTTAACCATCTGAGCCATCCAGACGCCCCTTCATGGTGAAGTTCTATACTCATGTAGCATTAAGACTAGGACTCCCTGTAACTAACCAAGGGCTGATTTTTTCTCAATTTCCCAAAGTTTACAACTTAATTTTACCATTCTATTATGAAATGAGGATAAAGGTCCCATATATTAAGGTAGTGTCTGTATGTAGGGGAAGCATTTGGTTAACTATGTCATTCCACCATTTTGTTGGCATGGCAATATATAACTTCTGACAGATAGAAAGGGGATAGACATATTATTTAACATGTCATTCCCAGTCTCCCATCCTCATTTACTTAAAGAAAATACTCAATGAAAGTAATTGTATGAAAGGAAGTCAACATTGAGATTAAACTCAGGTCCAGGAACTGGGAGAGCAGATGGGTGCTGAGGATCTGTCGAGGTAAAGGAAGGAGTGTCTATAGGCTGGTGTTGAGATAAAAGGCTCAAAGGAACCTTTAGCCTTATCTATAATGTTTGATTGTTTTACAAGGGAATGCATGCATGCATTACCTGCTTAAATTAAATTAAAATTTTAATCAAAAGAGAAAAGATTCACATGTTCAATTTTCCAATACTAATAATAATGATCAGCATGCTGGTGCTGGCTTCCTGCCCTACTTTTAAATATATCCCTAAGGCCTCATATTATTACATTTTGATAATGTTTTCCCTGGCCTAGAGTAGGCAGACACCACATATCTGTTAAGTGGAAGAATTGGGCAATATTGTGGCAGAGAGGTCAGATGTATGAGCTGTGGAGTCAGCCTACCAAGGTGAATCCTGACAAGTTACCTTGAGAAGTTCTTAACCTCTCTAAGCATCAGTTTCTAGATCTGTAAAATGGGAATAAGAATGGTACCCATCTTATGGATGGTGGGAGAATTGTATGAACACAAGACCATAAAGCTTATAGGAGCGTGCCTAGTAATTTTATCTTTAATATTGCCTGTCCCATATAGCTGTTCCAATAACACTATTAATTGGCAGTGTTTTTTCTTAGTGGCTCATAAAATTATGCTGCAGCTTACAGTTGAAGGTATCCTAGATTTGGTGAAATACAGTATTTCAGGCCCTGGGCTAGAGCCATCCTATACCCACAGCACCAAACAGCTCCAAGTCAGCGTTGCTTGGGAAGATAGCAGTCAAAACATTAATGTAAATATAACTCCGTTATTGTCCTATCATCTTCTTTGGTGTCTCACTTTTAATTGGTTATACATTATGTATGGACTTGGGATATAAGATAATCAAAATCCAAGAATCATTTAAAAAATTCCAAAAACCTATTCAGTGCCAAATTTCATCCATTATCATAACTATTTTTGTATTTCTTGGTTAACTTCTTTCTCTGTTCTATATACCAACTAGGGGGAAATATGCGTAGCTTGGAGAAACCCAAATGGGATCATGTTCTATGAAATAAGACCAGTTCCCACAGGCAAAGAGCTAAATCCTCTAAAGTATTAGTTATCTGATAAGTTTTGCCAAAGGAAAAGAACATTTGAAAACCTAACCTAACATTTAACTACTTCAGGGTAAGTCCATTTCTTTGAGAATCCTTTCTTTATTTTTACCTGTGGTTCCAGAAGTATAAATGTATAAGGCAGGAGTGGAAAAAGTGACTTCAGACCTCCATGACTCTGGAATAGCTTCTGTTGACACTTCATCTACTTTGTCTAGTAAAGAGTCGACCCCATCCGTGTTAGAAGTTCTGCTCACATAATAGATGGACACATTATCTTTTTTCAGGCTTGGCAGCACCTCTTCAATAGCATCTTGTAGTTCTTAATAAGGAAAGAAAATCCAAATGAATTAAATTAGTCCAGTAAAGTTCTATTAGTACAGTAGACTTTATATTAATTTTGTTTTCAGTATAAATTTTGCTGAAATGCGTAGACATGCTTACAGTTACACAGTTTTAAACATGGAATTTTCTAGATTTGAAAATATCACAAGATTCCAAGATTTGAGGGAAGGCTGGGTGTTAATGGTTTCCTAGCAACAAAAGGTTGGTTGAAATCTGTACAAACAAATGGACACGTGGATAAAAACCAAGATATGTAAGTGTGTTACTTATATGCAGGTCTGGTATACATCTCAAAATACTCCAGAAATGAATTTGGTTATTCCCAATATATGTGTCCCAGTGATGAAAAATAAAAAAAGAAAATTTTAAGGTAGGAGCCAAGAAACAAAAGCAAGGTAGCCATGCTAACTAACAATGATGATAGAAGGCAACTTTATATATACACGTACGTATATGTATTTTAACACAACAGGAACAAATAGTTCCCCTAGGACAGTTCAGCTCATCTGAGAAGGAAACTCCAAATTTTTTTTTTTTTAAAGATTTTATTTATTTATTTGAGACAGAGAGAATGAGAGACAGAGGCATGAGAGGGTGGAGGGTCAGAGGGAGAAGCAGACTCCCTGCCAAGCAGGGAGCCCGATGCGGGACTCGATCCCGGGACTCCAGGATCATGACCTGAGCCGAAGGCAGTCGCTTAACCAACTGAGCCACCCAGGCGCCCCGGAAGCTCCAAATTTTGTAAGCACATTTTCTGCTCTGAGAAAAAACAGGACTGATTAGCATGTTTTTCCAACTGTAGGTCACAATACAGTAGTGGGTTGTTAAAATCATTTGAAGTGACCAACATTTTAAAAAATTAAAGTAGAATGAAATATAAGTTTTCAGAGTATATCACACATAGTAAGAGGTAAGTATTATTTTTTTTTAAAGTTTTGTGTCAGTTATGTGGGTGTGTGGGTACTGAGTCATGAATATATTTTTGTACTGTAGACCAACATCAAAAAATTAAAAAAAATTATTTATTTATTTATTTGCCAGAGAGAGAGAGAGAGAAAGAGAGCATAAGCAGGGGGAGCTGCAGAAGCAGGCTCCCTGCTGAGCACGGAACCTGATGCAGGACTCGATCCCAGGACCCTGGGATCATGACCTGAGCCGAAGGCAGGAGCTTAACCGACTGAGCCACTCAGGCATCTCCAATGTCAAAAAATTTAAAAGGCACTGATTTAATATGCAAACCACATTTCATGTTTGCTGCTTGATTTCTGTGCCCTTCAATCACAGGATGAGATGGCCTTTAAGCTTACTTGTCTTAAACTTGTGATAACTGAACTGAATATACTTATTCTTAATAGGAAAGTGACCCAATACCCCAGGGAATTACCTTGGGGAGGCTATCCCTAATTCATCTTATAGGCTTTGTTTTTCAGATTTTGTGTATGATGTCTCCACCAAAACAGAAATATCATCTGGACAGATGCATTTAAAAAAATTTTTAAAACATTTTAACCAGAGGACTCATGCACCTGAGAAAAAGAAATCAAATAATACAAAAGAGTTTATAATGAAAATCAACAGTTCTGCTCCCCTTCCCTCTTCACAACTAAACCTGCCGCCTGGAGGCGATCACTTTCAAGTTTTTGAAATCTGTTTCTTCTAACAGTCGCCTCTCTATCACCAAATAATGTGCTTTTCCTGCTACCTCCTGACCTATCAATTTTGATCCCCACCCTTGTTCTTCCCCTATCTACTCCCAAAAGTCACTATCCCCACTTTATGTTGTCTAGGTTCATAGTATTTACATCTTTTCTGAGACTGTAATTCCATCCTCCCAGCTTTGTTTACGGGTTGGCTCTAGAAGTGAGCACCAATAATCAGGATCAACAAGATTAAGACTATGTAAATATTATTCACTGCAGAGGAGAGTAACACACTATAATCATATTTCCATTCGTGGAGTTTTCTTTTCTTTTCTTTTTTTTTTTTTTAAAGATTCTATTTATTTATTTGACAGAGAGAGCGAAAGAGCACACGCAGGGGGAGAAGTAGGAGGAGGGAGAAGCAGGCTTCCCGCCCAGCAGGGAGCCCGATGAGGGGCTCAATCCCAGGACCCTGGGATCATGACCTGAGCCGAAGGCAGACGCTTAACCATCTGAGCCACCCAGGTGCCTCGACTCATGAAGAGTTTTCTCCTTGAGTTTCTTTTGGCTATCAACCTTTAAGATTCTATTTGCTTCAATTGTTTTCCACCTTCACCAGATCAGATTGCTATCTAGTCCGTGAGCACTTCAAAATATTCACCAAAAAATACTCCTGTTATAAAAACTGGAATGGTAACACCCCATCCCTTGCCACTGCCTTGCTTCAGGTCCTCATTATTTCCTACCTTGATCTTCCCAGTAGCCTCCAGACCAATCTCCTTGCCTCTAACGTCTCCCTGCTTCCAACTTAGCAGCTATACTATGGTTTCTTGTTACTGCCCTGCTTAAAATCTTTCAATGGCTGCTAATCCCTTGTGGTAGTCTACTCTCCTTATGCAGCATGTGAGGTCCTGAGCTCATTCACACTTTAACCCCTGGGGACTTTTCTGATGTCATCTCCTAGTACCATCTCTTATCCCCTTTCCTCTAACCACACTGATCTATGTGAACTGAATGTACCCATACTCTCACATCTCATGACCTTTGTCCAGATGGTTTCATCTGCTTTGAGTGCCGTCCTTCACCCTGGTCACCTGGAAAACTCCAGCTTATCTTTCAAGACTCAGCCTTGGCGACATTTCTCTCTGTTTCCTTCCTTCCCCCTGCAAAGTGGGGTGCTCCCACAGGGGCCTGCATATACTTCTGTCAGAGTATTAGTACACAGTGCAACTTGCTTGTTCTTTTTCTCCTTTATTAGTGAAAACGTTGAGATGAAGGCTCAAGAATTAAGAAATCACCTCCCTCTCTCCCTCCCCTGAAGCTACACACTTAAATACTGTGGTGTAAGTTACCTTGATTAGTCTTTCCTCTCAGCCTCCCTCTTTCCCAACACTTATCCAACATCTATTTAAACAGTGCTCCCTATGGGCCAGGCATGGTTCTAAGCAGTGGATATAACGGTGACCAAAAGAGATACTGTCCCTGTTTCTATAGAGCCTAATGGGGGAGGAAACGAAGATATCATCCATTAAAGTAAGGTATCCTAGGTGTCACAACAGGGGATATGGTATTTTGGGAGGGGCACAAATACAACCTAGAGGCAGTATCATCTGAGTGGAGACCTGAAAGATGAACAGGAGTTGGCAAGTTGAAGACCAACTGAGATTGACTGAACCTGTTTCTAGCAGAGGGAACAGCTTATGCAAAGGCCCAGAGGCAAACAGCATGGTGTCAAAGTAACTAAAAGAGGCTAAAGTTGACTGGGGGAAAGAAGGTTGGGAGAAGAAGCTAGAATGTAGGTAGGGACCAAGTCCCTGGTGTAAGTCAGGGCAAATGGATTGCAGGCAAGGCCATGATACATTTTTCAGCATGAAATTTACATTCCATTTTTTTTAAAAAAAGGTAAAAGAAAATGTAATTAAGCAGGTGTCATGCTGGATCGTAGTTCAAGCAATTTGGCATTATGTGTCTTCTACTGCATTCATGTTCCTACCTAGCTCTCCGTAGGCATTTTGTTTGTGATACCTTTGTAGAAGTCATCTCATCTGAAGGGGAGGCCATTGGCCCTGCCCAACACAATTTCCTTACATGTCCTCTGGGCTGCTGGTGTAGAATTTGCATTTGGGCATTGACTTGAGGTTCCAGGGACTCACCAACCATATCAGGACACACCTCATATGTCTGATGGTAGCAGGCTTTCTTCCTTTAAACTAGAGATGCTGATATAAAAACTGAAATTTGAAAGGAAATTCTGGATTTCTATTAACCATCTATTTGATATTTAGTGTCTTTCCTTAAGCCCTTTATAAATACAACTGGACCTACATGTTTTCTCCTTCACAAATTTTGTCTAGTGTGTGTGTGTTAATTCTTACTGTAAAGTCTGCTTACTTAAAAGTGGCAATCAACCAGGACACGTAAGCTCTATTCGGCAGAGGTTGAGCTCCTGGGAGCTCTGTGTTCTGAGATTTACATGCAGGAGTGCACTTGGTAATGACATCTGTCAGGTTGCAAGAGAAGCAGACTAGATAGAGGGCAAGGTTGAACAGTGATGTAGCCACACAGTGACATCACTCAACTGATTCTCTGATCCTATGGGGACTCTGGGCCTGGGATGGCCCTTCAGGATTGTCCCAAACTAAGGGAAGTGGGCTGAACCTTCACCCCTGCCCATGAACCAGTCATTGGATGCAGGCTGGGGGTGGTAGCGCTTGACCTTGGGCACAGTGGCTCTCTGTAAGCAAGGGTGAGTCCTGGAGAGGGTCTTGGCTAAGAGTTTCAACTGCCAATGCTCCCAGCAGCTGAGGAATGAGCATCTCAGTCCTGAAGGGGGCATGTGGGTAGTCCATCACAGCATTCACTACACCTTGCATCCTTACTGATAATAAAGCCTTAATGTTTCCATTTGTATAGAACAATTTGTATAGTAGCTTTACATATATCACATCACATAATTTTCACAAGAACCCTATGATACAGATACAGTCATCCTGTTTCTACAAATGAAGACAGAGGCTCAGTGAGCCTATGTTTGGAAGGATACATACAAAATAAACAGAAATATATTGGGTTTATGGGATTCCTGTTGCATCCTTATACTAGCCATTCAGGTTCAATTATTGAAAGAGTGCCTTACTTTTTAGAAGATGCTGTCTCCTTGACCTGCTCAGTTCTTGTTAAATGAAGCATGTGGATCTACCTTTGGAGGGTAATATTGACAATCTCTTGTTCATCTTCTTTGAAAAGCATAACCTTGAGCTTTATTTAAGCTTGGGTATGAAAAACAGTATTCACAGAAAGTGGCCTGAATGGTGTAGAGTAGATCTGTTGGTTCCTT